GCACTTTATCCTGAGAGCTGTGGGGAACCATTGTAGGCTTTTGAGCAGAGATTTTCATATTAAAAGATCACAAAGGATAAGAGATGGAAATGGGATATATATGGAGGCAGGGAGAGCAACTGGGAGATTTTTTTACAGTCCAGGTGAAAATTCACAAGAGGCTAAATTAAGGCATTGACCCAATGTGGGTGGGAAGATGGTGGTGACGTCAAGAGCCAGGAAGGATTCTGTAGTTATAACACTTAGTTGGGTCTTTCTTCTTAACTGCTGTAATCTCAGTGCTTAGCACAGGGTTTGGCACATAGACAGTCAATAAGTATGAGTGAATAAACTTGCGCTCTACTCAGAAGGATGGGAGAAGGAAGAGGTTTCTGGTCTGGGTAAATCAGTAGATGGTGCTGTTATCAAACTGAGAGAGAAGGTCAGCCAGGAAGAGGAATGAAGAGTTAGTTCAATTCCGTATTTAAGATTTGAAGTGCTTTTGAGACATTTGAGTGGAGGTACTGTATGACTCTAGAGCTCCAGAAGAGCTGGCATGGAAAGGTAGGTCTGAGAATCATCAGTCTACCATGGGAGTGGATGACATTGTCCGGAGAGCGTATAAAGTGAGGAGAAAAAGAGAAGTCTGGAACCCTGGGGATACCAGCACGTGGGGGTGGGTGAAGGAAAAGGAGAATGAGGAAGCATGTTCAAGGAGTTAGAAGGAAAACCAAGACAGAGCAGTGTCCCTTAAGCTAAGGGAGTTTAGTTTCAAGAAGGTCAGGGCTGTCTGCTGTCTGATGCTGCCAAGAGGTCCTGAAAGTGTTAGTACCGTGCTGCCTCTGAACAGCAGGGATTTTTGTGTGTTTTGATCACTGTTGTGTCCCCAGCACAGAATAGCCTGGCTCATAGTAAGCGCTCAGTAAATAACTTGAATGAATGAATGAATTTGTTGAAAAGGATCCCTTGAATTTAGCTGCAGAACTACAGGCCCTTGGTGAAGGCATTTTCAAAGGAGTGATGGTGAAGGAAGCCAGATTATAGTGGACTGAGGAGTAGAAAGCAGGTCAGGAAGTGGCTACAAAGAGAGGACTAAGGATGGCCAACTTCATGAGCACCTCTCGTGTGCTGGGCACTGAGCTAAGCACTTCACACGCTTTAACTCATTTAATCTTCTCAACAGCCCAATGGGGTAGGTACTGTCATGATCACCAGATGAAGAACCTCCAGCTCAGAGGGGAAATAACTTGCTCAGGGTCCCACAGCTAGGAAGTGTTAGAACCCAAATTTGAACCCAGATCTGTCTGACTTTGAAATTCAGCACTGAACTGCTCAGGCTCCATTTCCTCTAGAGTTTCTTTTGTAACTGGAAGGAGAGAGAAAGAGTGACTGTTTGAGATGACCTGGAGTCAAGACTAGGAAGACTTGCAAAGATTTTAATGCTGATGGGAGAGAATCAGCGAAAAGAAATAATTTGAAGATTTGGGGGGAAAGGGAGATAACTTATACAAGAGGAGCCTGAGGAGAGTTGCAGAGCACAGGTGAAGGGAAGCCCCTTCCACCAAGGTAGGAAAAGGAGAAGGTAAAGACCAGGTGTGAGTTGCAGGTATTTTTGTCAGGGAGGAGCAGGGAAGGTAGAGGTGGATGATTGCTGATTGTCAGCTGAGAGTAAAGGAGGTTGTGATCCAGTTATGGACTTGAAGAAAGTGGTACCAGTCTGAAATAGCTGTTGCAGAGAATAGAAGAAAGCAGTGGTGGAGAAGCAGATTTTCACGATTGGCATCAAGGGCCCAGCCAAGATGAGAGACCAGGATAGGTGCACGGAAGGCAGATGTTAGATTGATCCAGGTTGAGGGTTTTGCCCACTGTGTGCAACCGAAGACAGGGACAGGCTGTTGTGAGTATTGGCTAGATTGTGTTTGAGGTGATGGGTCACCACATCTAGGGCAGCAGTGAAGGAAGTGAGGATGGGAGAGGATTGAGAACAGAAAGGGAATGGAAGGATCATAGTACTGGCATCTGGACAAAGTTCAACAGCGGGATTTTGGTAGTAAAAGGGTCTAGGATTCCCTTGTTCTCGAGTTCCACATCCAGAGCTGACCTGTGATGAATAAGGCTAAATTGTGCTAAAAAGGGGGCACAAGGGTAGAAGACTAACCGTGGTTATCTCTTCAGAGAACAAGAGGGGTGCCAAAGATAACCTTTTTTTTCTTTTTGCTGTAAACACTTCTGGGCTGTTTGAATTTTTTTAACTTCTTAAATTAAAAAAAATACAAACTTTTCAGTGAACCCAAAGAAAAGAGCAGGCTTCCATGAAAGCATGGGGGATGAGGGAGCTGCAGAGATGGGAGCAGTGGTCTAGAATGGGACCCCGGAGTATGTGATCTGTCTGTGGAATCACGAAGTATGGGCTCTGAGGAGCAGCTGGGACCTGGTCCCACCCTGCCATTGTTTATCAGGGAGGAAGTGGGAGCCCCGAGACTCGCTCTGCTTGGCAGCGGCAGGGGCAGAACCAGAACTAACCCTTCCTGATCTCCCAGCTCAGTGCTCTGTTTTCCATGCTGCTTCCTGAGCACTTGAGGCTTCAGAATTTCCTGCTGTCCCACCCGGGCTCATTGCAAGCGTTCCCGTGCGATCGCTGGTGAGCAGGCTCTTTGCCAGACCCTGCTTCCCACACCTCAGTTCTTCCCAGCGCAGGGTGTGTGGGTGTTTGTAGAGGCGGCTGGCTTGTCCCCTGCCTATTTCCTGTTCTCTTCAGAGTGGCAACTTGGAGGCGGAAAACCACAATGATGGTCTCTATTTACATCCTTTAAATGACCCAGTGTCCCTCCTGTTTTGTCAGCTCTCACATCACTGCGTCCCCTGGTCCTTCCTCCTCAGAGCTTGTTTAAGCAGCAGCCATGACTCTGTGTCTTCTTTATCAGCCCAAACCCACGTGAGTCACTGAGAGCACTTAGGACGGGGCTTCTTCACCATGAGATTGGTGGTCAGGGGTGGAGGGATGAGCCCTTAAATTAAGGGCATTGTTCTAGGGGAAAAATCCTTTCATTTTTGTCAGATCTTCAAAGGAGTCTGGGACCTTCCCCACTAAAAGACCATGGATTTAGAGAATGGAGTATAGGTGTGTTTTAGAAAAACAAAAATATAATAACAACAGCAGTTAGATGTTTTCTTGTCTTCTAAGTAAGTTCAGATAAACCTGGTGTTTGTGCAGCCTCTCTCGTCATCAGGACAGTGACCGTGGCAGTTGCATATGAATAGTTGTGATTTCTCCTCAGTTTGGTAGACTGAGGTCCAGAGGATTAAGACTATACAGCTCAGGACTTTTGTCCTCTTTTGCATGCCCGCCTGGGTAGATGTGCACATGAGCTCTCCACACAATGATATTGGGGCTCCACAATGTGTGGGGTCAGGTGGGGATAAGGAGACAAGGGATGAGGCCGTGGTTGAAGGAGGGGATATTCTTTTATAGTTTTCTTCACGCCTGCCTCTCAGTGAAGTCCTCCTTGGTCTTTGGGGTTTGTAGAGATGGCCTGTCTGCTTAGAGAGCTTGGGATGGCCCTGCACATTCTGCTTTGAGCATGCTCTCTGCCCTGAAAGTCTGGTTGTCCTCCTGTGTTGTGGGGATGAGTCTTCAGGGTTTAGAATGGAGCTGTGAGTTGGCCCGTCCCAGAATAGCCTCAAATTCTCTTCTGCCTCCAGGGTTTAAGCAGGTATTGGTGTGGGGCAACAGGGTATTTACAGGCAGGGGAAAGCATATGTTTGCTCATTATGGTGGGAAAGGGCCCCTGGTTGGCTTGCTTCCTGGCCGGCCTGAAAGCCAAGATGCAGCCACGTGGTGTCGTGATCAGGAGATTTGAGCAGGCTTCCTTGAGATGGTTCAAGGCTCCCGGGTCCCTTCTGCCAGTTTGGTTTTGAATCCTCTCTCCCTGCTTTTTGCCAGGCCATCCTACCCCTGACTTTATAGTTCCATAGGAAGTCAGGGATGTTGAGGCGCCAGTGGGGATGAATGTGGCTCCAGAAAAAGAATAAGAGAGTGGGGGTTCACTGAGGCTCGGGCTTGGAGTGGTACCATCAGAACCACCCTGAAGGTCATGGAGAAGCACCAGTGGGAGGGTGGGAAGAGACAGTACATTCGTGTTTTGGCTTTTTTTTTTTTTCTTTTCCTGCGTAGACTGGGATCTGTTTAACGATATTAGATAGTATATAGTTGTCTCCTACTGGGTGGCTTTCCGCTGTTGGGAAGAAGTCTGCCTTGGACAGAGAACCTGTTTGGGAAGAGGAAGGAAGGAAGCAGGATGGGCTGGTGGCCACGTGCCTTTGCTGGAGTGCCCACTAGGTCATCTCAGGCCTCCTTTGCATAGGAGATCCTCCTGTCATCTGCTTCATCTGCTCACATTAGCTCCTGAGCCTTTACAAAGTTGGAAGCTTTCATCTGGAGCCCTCCAGAGCAGTGCTACTTCAAGTGCCCGTCTGCAATGAGATGAGAAGCATATGCACCAGAACGTAAAACTGTTCCCTTCAACAAGATAGCCTTGTTATGAAAAATTGTTAGACCTAAACAGTGTGTTTGCCCTGACATAGTTGCCTCACATTCTGGAGTCATGTAAGCTTCCTATCTGGTGACCCACCAGTAACACCGTCTGCAGATCAGCAGCTAATCTGCAGACCACACTTTGACTAGCAGTACTCTAGAGCCACCTTTAGTTCAGAAGCAGTTGTTGAGGTCTTGGAATCATGTGCTTGGCCTCTACAAGTCAGAAACAGAGAGCCCGGTTACAGAGCTGCTGCCAGGTCAGTCATACACGGGCCAGGCGGGTTACTGGGGAGAGCGGAGCACGACCAAAGTGACCAAGTTGAACAGATGACTAGGCAGTGCCAAGGGCAGATCCGTCCCCTCCCCCTTACCACAGGCACACAAGCTGAAGGGACCAGAGCCAGCAACCCTTCTGTAGGGCCTTAGTTTTGCCTGTTGTTTCTGGTGGCAGGTCAGCCTCACTGAGTTCATCCTGTCCTTGCAGGAAAATGGCATATGTCAGAGAAGAATTCGTTGGTTATCCTTGTTGTCACTCCTGGATGTGACCAGTTTCCTTCTTTGGAGTCTGTGGAGAATTGTAAGTACCGCCTTGTTCCCTGTTTGAGAAGAGAAAGAGCACTTGTCTGGAGCTGTAACTCCAGATGGCCTGGCCTAAGTTGTGGATGCTACGCCTGGAGCCCTCCATGAGTGTGGGGACCAGGGCTCACCAAGTGCCCAGAGCGGTCAAAGGTGAATTTTTCCTATGCAGTCTAACCAGCATCTGACAGTTGGCTGTGAACATCACACTGGCTATTCACTGAGTCCCACAGGACACCTGCCTTCTGGACTGAATATAATCCCACTGGCATTTTAGGAACTTGTACACTTTGCTGATTTGCTCTAAGAGACCCTACCCTGGGAAGAGAAGGAGTTTTCGGCCGTTTGAACCAAGATGAAGTCAAGGCGTTGGTTCTGTGGCTGCCACCCGACTTCCCTGAGCAGCGGCATTTGGGGACGTCTCAGTCTGCAAAGCGAACATTCAGGTCTTGGCTTCTTCCTTACATTCCTGATGGAGTAGCTGAAGCTTGGAGACAAAAGGACAGGAGGGTGATTTCAAAGGCTCTGGGAATGTCGTAACCTGGACTCACACCTCCAAGCATCCCTCTCCCCTTCATACTTGGAGCTAAAGCCTGGCAGGAATTATGTTTCCGGTGGGGAAACTGACCCACAGGGTGGGTGGTGCTTTGTAGAGGAATCTGTACCTGCCTGCCCCTCCTCACACACTGTCTTCCAGGGCCTCGGAGCCACTGGGTGACCACCCTCCCACTGTGGCCCCAGGCCTGAGTGCAGCCTTGCTTGCTCAGGGAACGCCTCCCCTTTGAAAGAAAAAAAAAATGTTAGGTTTTTTTTTTTTTTTTTTTTTTTTGGCCGCACCGTGTGGCATAAGGGATCGTAGTTCCCCGACCGGGGATCAGACCCACGCCCCCTGCAGTGGAAGTGTGGAATCTTACCCACTGGACCACCAGGGAAGTCCCTTGTTGTTATTTTTTGTTTTATAATATATTGCATTTTTATTCCTAAATGAAAGAGAACTATCCATATATAACGGAAAAATCCACATGGGTGACAGCTTATCTTTTTTTTTTTTTGAATTTTATTTTATTTTTTTATACAGCAGGTTCTTATTCATCTATTTTATACGTATTAGTGTATATATGTTAATCCCAATCTCCCAGTTCATCCCACCACCACCACCACCACCCCTCCCTGCTTTCCCCCCTTGGTGTCCATACATTTGTCCTCTACATCTGTGTCTCTATTTCTGCCTTGCAAACTGGTTCATCTGTACCATTTTTCTAGATTCCACATATATGTGTTAATATACGATATTTGTTTTTTCTCTTTCTGACTTACTTCACTCTATATGACAGTCTCTAGGTCCATTCATGTCTCTACAAATGACCCAATTTCATTCTTTTTATGGCTGAGTGATATTCCATAGTATATCTATACCACATCTTCTTTATCCATTCATCTGTCGATGGACACTTAGGTTGCTTCCATGACCTGGGTATTGTAAATAGTGCTGCAGTGAACATTGGGGTGCATGTGTCTTTTTGAATTATGGTTTTCTCTGGGTATATGCCCAGTAGTGGGATTGCTGGATCATATGGTAATTCTATTTTTAGTTTTTTAAGGAACCTCCATACTGTTCTCTTGTTGTTATTTTCTAATCCAAGGATTTGCACAGAACATGTGATTGTAATCTGAGGGTAGAAATCCTTAACCAAATGGGGTCATTTCTATCATTTCAGACACCCTGACCGTAAATGATGAGCAGTGTTTCCTCCTCTCAGAGACTGTCTGGGGCGCCCTCCGAGGTAACAAGATGGGGCTGACACTGGGAGAGAGAGAAGGATGATGTGGGAAGGTCGACCCTGGTGGGGTAGGGGGCAGGACTAGGGGCCCAGCGAACACCCCCACCTTAGGAAGCTTGCTTTATGGACCAGTTGGAGTATTTCCCCAGCTCCCTGAAGGGAGTATTCTTACCGCTGTCTCCAGAAGTTGACAGGTGTCAGCCTGTGCGGGGGCAGCCACTCCCCTGGGCAGGTGCTCTGGGGAAGCAGGGGGCAGGCAGCTGGGGAGAGAGGCCCACTCTGCCACAAGCACTGCTTGTTCAGCTCTCCTTTCAGACACATGATCGGAAAGGTTCTTTAAAAACTAGATCAAAAGGAATAGATAAATGTCAAAAAAGAGGTAAAGAGTGGTAAAATATGTAGAACTCTATTATTTGGGGAGAAAATGAGAACTTTGCTAGCTAACGGGTGATAGGCCCCCCTGCCCTTCTTCTGGGCTTACTGAAAAGGTATTCGGTCCCTAGATACAGACTTAGCCAAACAACTCTGACCGCTTTTGGTAAAAGGTCTGCTGGTGAACGATGAGAGAAATTCTCACTGAACTCCAAACGTTGTTTTGGTTTGTCTTTGTTCCCCAGCTTCTCCTCCCCTCCCCTGTGTTTTGGAGAAACAGCATGCCAACTCCCCTTTCTACCTCTTGTAGCTTTTGTGTGGGTGTTAACTATTAGGCAGGTTAAGGTAGGGGAGATCTGGGACCCCGAGTGCTAGGCGTCAGAGTCAGACTGGAGAGAAGCCCAGATGGTACACTGGAAGTCTGCCTCAAATGAGCTACTGAGTGACCATGAAAGTCTCACAAATTCTTAAATTCTGAAAACTTAGGATTCTGGGAATCCTTCACAGGGCTTCTGCTGGATTTTCAGAAGTGAGGCCCCAGCTGTTGAGAACATCTAGTGCTCTGGACTCAGCATGCCTGCCCTTGGGCTTTGCTGGAATCTAGGAGTCTGTGTCCAGTCTTCTGGGGCAGTTGCTGCCTGCCACACCTCAGCTCCCTATAGCTGGTTCTCTTCTCAGGCTCTGAAGAGGAAAAGTGGAGGCTTCTTTGTCTTCTAAGTCCAGCTGTGGACCCACAAGTTTCTGACTGAGTTTATGAAACTCAAGTCAATGATCACATTCTCACAATTCAGTCTGGGAGAAGTGAAGGGGCAGCAGATTGGGGGCCCCTTTTTCTCAGCTCCCTTAGCTCCTGATGGGTATTATCCATGGAAAGCTTTAACCCCTTGTGAGCTGGCCTGTCCCTGCGTCTGTCCTCATGGGCACACATCTTGGCCTCTCTTCTTAATATCTTTGTAAATTCAAGGCTTAGGAAGTATAGATAAGAGGCATGTGGGTTAGTGTATTGCTACGAGGGGCACAAAAACCCCTCACGCTGCCACCTCCCCAAATAAAATACAGAGTAAAAATAGAGACTGGCTTCCTACTATCCCCTTTTCGTAACTGTTGAGAACCATCAAGCCTACACTAGATCCCCTTTCACTGTGTGCCCAAGCACTGTGCCGTGCCACGTGGGAACCTTCCAAATGGTTCCAACTCTTTACCCACCTCCCTAAGTCTTTCCATCTGCCTCTCTACTTCCCTGCAGGTCTGGAGACTTTTAGCCAGCTTATTTGGAGATCTCCTGAGGGCACGGTGAGTGTGGGCCCTCAAAAAGGGCTCCTTTTAAATCTCTGGGACACACACACACACACACACACACACACAAAATCTCTGGGGTTTGCTCCCAATGTTGAGAGTCCTGGAAATATCTTATTTTACCTTAAACAGAGTCCTGGTGGCTTAAGATGGCCCCAAAAAAGAGTATTCAAGGAGATATGGATGGAAACTGGTTTGGTAGATTTTGCCAGTTGGGGTATAACTTAGTTTCCCTGAGTCATTGTTTAGACATGACCTTGAGACCACACTGCTTTGAAGAAAATATTAACAGTCAGTGAAAATTTGGAATGTGTGGGCTGAGTGGTATGTGGGACACCTGTATTTGGCTGGCATGGGACAGTTGCTCTCTGGACAGGTACCTGCTTATGGTCATTGAGGTAGAGGTGTGCGGTGTTTGTGGAGACAGTTACCCTGCAGAATAGTCACAGGTTGGCTTTTCAGGGATCTTGGAAGACTTTTCTCATCCCCCTCCACCCCACTGGTGAATTTCCTTTGAATCTTAACATGTTCAGTGTTTGGTCCACACAGTTCTACATCAACAAGACGGAGATTGAGGACTTCCCCCGCTTCCCTCACCGGGGCTTGTTGTTGGATACGTCTCGCCATTACCTGCCACTGGCTAGCATCCTGGACACTCTGGTAACCAGGCCTTAAGGCCTTCTTTGCCCTCAGGGTTCTGGGGTAATGGGACAACAGATAGATCAGGTGCCATATTCTTAAAGAGTTACAGAGAGAATGTGCATAACTTAGTGAGCTCCCGGGAAAAATGTAAAAGATGACCTGCTCTAAGATTCAAAAAAATAACAAGAGTGATTTAAACCTACCCCATTTGGCTACTGAGGACCAATGTCCAGGCTATCTCCAGCGATGCAGGAAGTGGTTTGGGGAATTGACTAAGCAGAGCTAACTTTAGTTAGTATAAAGTCATAGGAAAGAGATGTCCAAAAGCCTTAGCTGGGGATGGTCCTCACTGTCTTGAATTTGATGGGCAGTCTGACCTGACAGTTGCTGATCTAGCTCACGTGTCTAACTTTTCCTTTGCTCTCCTGATGGAACCAAAGACGTGGACACATCCACCAGTTTTGGCATCTGAGATTTATGGATCATGGGGCTACTAAATTCACAACAGACCTCACCGTCTGGATAAACACTAGTCAGACAACCCAAAACAAATGGCAGGAGGAAATATTAGTTTTCAGGGTATTGTGGGGCTTTCTGAAGACCCCAGGGTACCACGGAGCTGCAGCCCTCCTCTCGATGTGACCATAACTCATCCCCCAAAGAGGAGATACTACTTCTGTCGGCCATCTTTGCATGTGCAGGGTCTTCCCCTTCCCTCCATGCCAGGCGCAACCCGATGCGAAGGTTTGATAGGGAGAACCCGTGAACACTTAGCAGGAAGCTGGGCAGGTCGAGCCTGTTAACGTGTGTGGAGCAGCCTGCCAAGCTTGGGGCTGAAGCCGGAGAAGTTGTGCTGAGTTAACTGTGCGTGCTCTGACCTACAGGATGTCATGGCGTACAATAAATTCAACGTGTTCCACTGGCATCTGGTCGATGACCCTTCCTTCCCATATGAGAGCTTCACTTTTCCAAACCTCACCAAAAAGGTATGCCTTAATTTCGCCCAGACCAAGTTGATGGCTTGAAGTCTGAACCTGGCTATGGCGCCCTGCTGGCAAGGACACCAGCTCTCCTCCTAACCAGCCAGTTTTAGGGACACACTGACATATAGGGGGCAGGCACTGGATTTGGAGTCAGGAGACCTGAGTTCAGGTCCAAACTACACCATTAATTTGCTCTGTGACCTTCAGGAGAGAATCTCTCCTGGTCCCATCTTCTTTTTATTTATCTATATTTGGTTAGCTGGGCATAATGACTACCTTATTCATCTCACTGGCATCACGGCACTGAGATAAGATAGTAGATGTGACAGCTTGTGGGAAATTATGATAAAGTTCCTTGAAGACCCCTGATACCAAAGGGCTCTTGGTAGATTTTCTGATATCCAGGGGAGTCCAGAAGGCATTTTGAGTATCCTTTCCTCTGCCAGCCTTCAGGAAATGAGGTCCTGAATGGTGTTCTGTACCTTCCAGGGGTCCTACAACCCTGCCACCCACATCTACACAGCACAGGATGTGAAGGAGGTGATTGAATATGCGCGGCTTCGGGGTATCCGTGTGTTGGCAGAGTTCGACACTCCCGGCCACACTCTGTCATGGGGACCAGGTAAGAATAATGTCTGGAGGTGGAGGGAGGCTACTGATTCCCCTCAACGGGACTTTAGGATATTGGCTCTTGGATGTAGCATGCCTCAGCCTTGGTCTCTGGAAGAATGTTTTCCATCAACTTTTTCCACTGGGAATTTAGATAGGCAGAATTTACTTTGGGTGAAGGAGGCCGCTTCTGACTATTAAAATATGGGCGGGGACTTCCCTGGTGGCTCAGTGGTTAAGAATCCGCCTGCCGACGCAGGGGACACGGGTTCGAGCCCTGGTCCAGGAAGATCCCACATGCCGCGGAGCAACTAAGCCCGTGCGCCACAACTACTGATCCTGTGCCCTAGAGCCCGCGAGCCACAACTGCTGAAGCCCGTGCACCTAGAGCCTGTGCTCTGCAACAAGAGAAGCCACCGTAATGAGAAGCCCATGCACCGCAACAAAGAGTAGCCCCTGTTCTCTGCAACTAGAGAAAGCCTGTGCACAGCAACAAAGACCCAATGCAGCCAAATAAATAAATAACAAGGGCAAATTCTTCTCAGACGTCCTTGCCTCATGATGCCCTTGTAGGTTGTTGTGCCCTAGCGTGGAAGAAAGATTTTGCCAGTTTTGCTGGATCAGGCTCTCTGCTTTTCTGCCCATAGGCTATGTGAGGGCAAATTTTGGGACCAAGGGTGACCCCTGCTGGAAGAGTGTGTCAAGGCAGGAGTATGTGTGTGACAGTTGTCTGTGTAGGATTGTGGACATACTTGTATTTCTTTGATTGTCACTAAATGCTCATAATTACCAGTGTCTGTGAATGCCTGAGTGTTCCTGTCTGTGTGCATGTAATGTCTGAACGTGATTGTCATCATGTATATGACTGTATGTGGGGTCTGTGTATTTGTGACACTAGTGTGAGGTTCTCTATTGCCTTAGGTGTCCCTGGATTATTAACTCCTTGCTACTCTGGGTCTCACCCTTCTGGCACCTTTGGGCCAGTGAATCCCGCTCTCAACAATACCTATGAGTTCATGAGCACGTTCTTCTTGGAGATCAGCTCTGTCTTCCCAGATTTTTATCTTCACCTTGGAGGAGATGAGGTTGACTTCACCTGCTGGTATGAGCCCTGTGACCTTCCCATCCTGGCCTGATGAACTGCCTACTCAGAGTAGAGGTTAGCCCGTGAGAAGCTACCTGTCTCAGGTGTTCCTCATCTGTCTCCATCCTGATGGCTCAGGTCTTTGGCCTTTTCTCTCTCCACCTACAGAGAGGCCCTACCTGATTTTGGCAAGGCTGTGAATGTAAAACTCTCCTTTCCTCTTGTCATAGCCTTGAGATATTTACAGAAAAACCAGCTCTGGGCACAGAATTGTCTTGGGAAAATCAGGATAGAGAAAAACAATCCCTGCTTTTGGCAGCTTAAAATAGTCTGGTTGAAGAGACAGGACACATATGAATTTGAGGCTAATATATGACAGTGTCTAGTTAGTATTACATTGTAAGCTTCCAACCCTCAGATCTGCTTAGCTCAAAAGAGGCTCAGGGGCTTCTTGGCGAAGTGGGCACTAGCGCTGGATCTGAGGAAAGAGTGGAGGAGGGGAAAAACAAAATGTAGACCTTGTGGGGTAAGGGAGCTGCAATGGGTGACAGACAGCAATGCTTGTATCCAACTGGAATAAAGAATAAATACTAAGGGAAAAGCAGACTGTGCCCAGGGTGTGGGAGGTAAGAGACAGAAGACAGAATCCAGTGTGCCGGAGCCCCAAGCCTAGACCTCAGAACCACGTGTCATAGCCCAGAGAGATTGATATGTGTTCTCTTTGAGGGTGAACTTGAAGCTCTTCAGATCCAGACTCAGCCTTTCTCAGCCTATGTCAGTGGCCCCCGTCATTTAACTTTGTTTAGCCACACCTCCCAAATTTGTGGCCTCTTGAGATCCTCAGTCGATTGGTTTTTCAGGTGAAAAAAAGGAGTTGTGGGAGGCCAGGTGATACATCCCCAAGCTCTGGGCTTTGAGGATGTCAAAAGAATTAATCTTCATTTTCTTTTGGGATTCAGGAAGTCCAACCCAGATATCCAGGCCTTTATGAAGAAGAAAGGCTTTGGTGACGACTTCAAGAAGCTGGAGTCCTTCTACATCCAGACGTGAGGAAGGAGGGGGGGAGGGCAGGGTCCCTGGGGGTCAACTCCTGTGAAGTCCTCACTTTCCATAGCAGGACCAGGACCTGCTGGACCACTCTCTGGGCCCCTGAAGGGGTCCTTTGTCATGTCCTTTCGTTGGAGTGGTTGATTCCCACCTGGTCAGTCAGGAATGGGCCCCTAAGCAGGCTCAGCCCCCAGGGCACTGGCACCTGTAGCACAGAGCCTGTCTGAACTGAGCAGACATTCCCTTTACTCTTTAAGGCTGCTGGACATCGTCTCTGCCTATGGCAAGGGCTACGTGGTGTGGCAGGAGGTGTTTGATAATAAAGTAAAGGTGAGCCAGGGGCAGAGAGAAGGGGCCACCCTCGGTGCCTCCCATTGGTCTCCCATCCCTTCCCTGCTCCTGTGCGGGTACAGAGGTCTGAGCCCTGGGTGTGGGTATCAGGGCCTCCATCTGTCTTCCCTCACTGTGAACTGAACGAGTTATTTCTGCTGCTAGGTTACTTGGGATTCCTGAGACTGGCATGATGGGTTGGGTTTTCCTGCCTGTGTCATAGACTAGGATCTTCCAGGTCTGCGAGCAGGGCTACCTTCTCCTTCATTGTTGAGCACTAAGATCCCAGCTTCCTGCCACGTCAGGGGCTCTGCAGGAACCTCGTCCCGTCCTCAGAAGCATCTGGAGATGCTTGGACATGGTAGCTCCTGATCTGTTGAGTCTCCTGGGCCCCACTGCTTTTCTCCCTTAGCTCACAGCTGGTGTTACTATCTCAGTGTAGACAGGGAAGCTGCAGAAGGACTGGGGGAGAGGCAGCAGGGAGCTCTCCTAGGGCCTGTGGGACCCTCGGCCTCTGCACTGGGCTAGAAACTCAGTTATTAGGAGTCACAGAGAAATGCTTTGCTGCTGGGGAGCAGAGGGAACACACACCCCTTGGCCTGGGTTGCTTGCATAACACTGTGGCCCGGGAATCTCCTACTGCCCTTTGACCTTTCCTGACAGGTTCAGCCAGACACAGTCATCCAGGTATGGCGAGAAAAGATGCCTGTAAGGTACACGAAGGAGATGGAACTGGTCACCAGTGCCGGCTTCCGGGCCCTGCTCTCTGCCCCCTGGTACCTGAACCACATAACTTATGGCCCTGACTGGAAGAATATCTACATGGTGGAGCCACTGGCATTTGAAGGTAAACAGGGAGCTCTCCTTGCTGCCAAAGGCGGTTGAATGGGATACAGGGCGGGAGGCAGGAGATTCTGGGCTGGACATTGCGGGTCAAGAGACGAAATGACCTATCTGAGGAGTGGGCCATGTTGGGAAGGCGGTAGAGGCCTGTGGTTGCTTGTTTTCCCTCAGGTAGCCCTGAGCAGAAGGCTCTGGTGATCGGCGGAGAGGCCTGTATGTGGGGAGAGTATGTGGACAGCACAAACCTGGTCCCCAGGCTCTGGTAAGGGCTACCTGGGGACGTGGAGGGTTGGGCCTGTGGGCGTGGGTTCTCCCTCACAGGCTCAATCCCGTCCAGCCTCACCCAGCTGAGCACCCTCCTTTCAGGCCTGGGAGAGAAGGGGCATCGCAGTGTTGCCCCTGTTTGTATGTAAGTCACCTCCCGCCTGACTTGCGTATTTACTCCTCCAGCCCATAGATGTGTCGGATGGAGACTGTTGTCCCCATTTCACAGATAGAGATGAGGAGTCCTGGAGAACATGTTGAAAGAATGTTGCTTTCGGGATGGCTTGCCCAGGATCCAACCCTGAAGTGCATGGCCCTGTGATAAGACTCCTCTATGCTGTCTCCTCAGAGGCTGCAGCCCCTCACCAAGTCTGGTTGGGTGTATAGAGTTTACATTTTGAGAACAGCTGCTCGGCCACTGTTGTATCCGTGTTCACGACGCCTTTAAGACGTACTCTGGTTCCCATGTGTTTGGGAGAGGAGGAGATGGGATCACGATCCCCATTTTGCTGAAGATGGAGCTGGGCCCTAGAAGTCCCTGTGAGCCCTCCAGCCGGCTGTCACTCTGATTAAGGTGTTGATCACGTCTCTTGGCCCCGAGCTAGTCCAGGGTACCTAAACAAGAGGCTGTGGGTGTCCAGCACCCTTGCCAGGGATCCAGGGCCCAACCTGGTGCATGTCCCCTTTCCTGCAGGCCTAGAGCAGGGGCTGTTGCCGAGAGGCTGTGGAGCAACAAGATGCTGACCAACCTGGACTTTGCCTATAAACGTTTGGCACACTTCCGCTGTGAGCTGCTGAGGTACGCAGGCCATGGGCAGGTTGGGGGCTGAGGACCCCTACTGACAGGAAAAGAATACTGATAATAGCTAACACTTGCAGGGGCATACTGTGTGGGGCAAGCCGTGCGCTCAGCCCTCTGCCAGCATTGCTTCATTGAATCTTTACCATAACCCTATGAGGGGGATGTAGTTTTATCCCCATTTCAGAGGTAGGCAGCTGACGCACAGAGCAGTTAAGTAACTTGCCCAAAGTTGCTCAGAACCAGGATATGAACCAGGCTGACTTCAGAGTCTGCGCTCGTAGCCATGGCCATGATTTTATGGGTTCTCATGACACCTGTGCCCCTGTTAGGATGGGCCTGCGTAAGATGGTCATTTCCCTGATTCATTCACTTACTAGGTCTTGAGGCCCTAGGGGAAATAGCCTAGTAGAGAGGGGAGTCCCAGGCTGAGAGCCAAGCATGGTGGGGTCTAAACCTCAACTGTCTGTAATTTACTGGGCGACTTTGAGCTAGTTCCTTACCATCTCTGAGCACATAACTTATTTGGGTAATAAAGGAGGCATGCCTAGAGGTACCCTAAGGAGATTGGTCAGGTCCTGGAACTTGTGAGGCTGAGACCTAAGGATGGGATTTCATGTCCACACCCAGTGCGTGGGCTGGACAGTGCCTCGGTTCCCCCCCTCACCACATTTACAGAGTTTTAGAGCCATTAATGGGGCCTCCGTGGGCCAGGAGCACTGGGCACCCCTTAGGCATCCAGCTTTTTTCTAAAGAGACTGAGTTATTTGGAGCTGGGGCACAGAAACAGGCAAGTTAGAAATACAGAGGTGTTCCTCAAGGTTCCGGGGTGTCCCTGTATCAGAATCACCTGGGGCACCTGTTCAGATTGCAGATTCTTGCCAACACACGGCCCCACCCCAAGCAAGAATCTCTGGAAGTGAGACCCCCCCCCCAAGGAATGTTGGTGTCTAGTGGCGGATTGAAATCCACTGAACTGGGGGAAGGGGAGACCATTGGTTGTGGTAGAGAAGGTGTTGCTGGGGCCCAAGACCGACCCCCTTCCGAGGGGCTCATCTCGCCCTGTTTCTTTACGTCCTCTCGCAGGCGGGGTGTCCAGGCCCAGCCCCTCAGCGTAGGCTACTGTGACGTGGAGTTTGAACAAACCTGAGCAAGTACCCCAGGCACCGAGGAGGGTGCTGGCCCTAGGAGAGCGGTAGCGGGGCCAGGCTTCCACTGTACCGCCCCCCCCAGGGGACGGGGCCCCTTGCCTACGTGCCTGTGTGCCTGGAGACAAGGGGGCTGGTGTTGGTGCTGGTGTCCAATAAAGAGTGATGTGGTGTTTTTCTATAATGAATGTGGATTACCTGTGTGAAAAAAAATGTGAGTGGCCCTCGGGTAAGGGAGCTGCCAGAACTGGCCGCCTGCCCCTGAGGGTGATAGGGCTCAGCAGGGCCCCAGCCAGGTTGGGCTCAGTATCTGCCCCTGGAGGGATCTTATAAGTTGAGAGCTGGGAATGAAACCTGTAGCCTTTGTGCTGTCCTGCTCCACCTGAGTTATGATGCCTCTCCAACCCCACACATAGTCCAGACACATACCCCATCCTTAGACTCATCACTTAGACCTCCAAGGCTTCTGTAGACAGAAGACACCATAGGGGACCAAAGAAGTTCTGGGAAGCAGCAGGGGCTCCAGCCCCAACCTGGTCACAGAATAGCCCCTCCCCAATGCATACTCACAAACTTCCCTCCCCTAGAGCTTCTCTTCTGCTTTGCGTTTCTTGTTACTTCAACTGCATGCAACCATTATTAAAGACTGAACACATACTATGGTCTTGGCACTGTGGTAGGTGCCAAGAATTTGAAGAACTTAGTCCCCAGAGGCCCTGTTCAACTCCCCAAAATGGCAGCAACTTCCACCCCTCCTCCCGCCCATTTTCAGTCCAGTAGCATCTTCTCAGAGAATTGATGGCGCAGCTGAGACCATGACAGGGAAGCCCCTGGGGGACCAAGAGGTGGGCATGTGGCTCTGGAAGAGTGTCTTTGCACAAGTTGACCAGTTTTCCGTAGGAGGAACTGGCTCATCGTGGACCCAGACTTCCCCCTAGTGGTTTCATGTTCACCAGTGACAGTGCAGCCCAGAGGCTGGGCAGTAGTGGACAGCAGCTGTTTTAGATGAGGATTTCTTTGACCATTGTTTTTTTCTTCTACCTGGTCCTGGGCTGCAAGGACAAAGGAGAGGTCCCAGGCATTTCTTTCAGAAAGTTTCCAATCTAGTGGATACAGAAACTTGGGGAAGGCAGGCCTGAGAAGGGATCTCAGTAAAATGTGGTCCTTAAATAGCATCCTTCAGTCCCTTGATCATGCTCCTTTGGGGACTTGGTTGGACATACACCAGCCTGGCCTTCTTGCACTGTTACCATAGGGGCAGGTTGGGTACCTTCTACCTGCAGAATCCTCTAGGGAAGGGGTATTCACACAGCCCAGATAAGCCGAGCCCAGGGCTCTGGCCTGGAGAGACATGAGCTAAGGCTCTACCATCTGTACCCACCAAAGCAGCACCCTTACTCTCTATTACCCGGAGAAGCCTTTGGGGTAGTCCCAGGCAAGGACCTGCAGAAATGCTGCTATACTTCAAGTGCCCCTGCTTCCTTTCTGATCATAACTGGAATATTGCTATTGTTTGGGATAAAAAGATCAGACACTAAGTTGTAAGTCTCAAGTCAATGAAGGAAGAGACCATGAAAACACTTGTATTAAAGCAGTAAAGGTCTATGATTTCTTACTCGTCTCGTAAACATTTTCTTTAATGTTATTTTTACAATTAAAAAAATCAGTGTGGCCTGATCAAGTGGTGGGATGTGCTGATCCCCAGCCTCCACCACTGCATCTCGGGGCCCACTGATCATGACAGCATTTACCTGAAGGTCATCATCAGACCTTGAACTGCTGACAGGTCAGAGACAGTGCCCGTAGCAACCGCCCAGTCGGTTCCGATGCACAGAATCACTGCTTCCCCACCTCATCTCCCGTAACCTGTCCCACCCTGCGCTGGGCCAGGCTCCTCTGGCCTGCTTGTGTTCTCTGTTCACCACCAGGGGGCGGGGAAGTGCCTGGACTGATTTCCTGGCTCTAGTTATCTTTGGGCACAAAGGGTCCGCCCCTGCTCTCCTCTGAATCTCCTAAGGATGCAAAGCAGCCTTAACGGGAATATAAGTAAAGGAGTGAATGGAGGCTGGGAGGACATCCACCTCCTTGGTAGGAGTTGAGGCAGTGAGCCAGGTACCCCTCCCTTCTTGGAAACCTGATGTTTTGAGGTGCACCTCCGTGGATTAGCATAGGAATAGGATAGCAGAGGACTTGGGAGCACAGGTGCTCCATAGCACTAGTGACGGGGGACACAGCAAGGGGCGAGGAAAGCCAAATGATACTTGGCTCTCCAAGGGACAGGTGAAAAAAGGATTCTATGATATAGATTGAATTTAACTGATATCAGTGTAGATGTACACGCCTAGTGGCAACATTGCTAGCACTCTAAAGTTGAGATTTTTATAGTTTTTGTCAATATCACTTGCAAGATTAATCAGTACAGGCTGTGACAATTGTGTATCATGTGCTTTTTTTTTTCCACTAAGAAAGAAAATAAGTAGGAATTGTCTTTGTCTTAAAATCATTCTGTATTTTTTCCTTTATAAATAAACACTGAAAGTTTGAAAATCAGTGTCCCTTTATACTGTTAATAAATATATAAATAATATAAATACATATAAACTACCTTCAGTGAAACATTTACTTGTTAATTTTTTTTCAATACTGCTGACTCTAACTATATATGAATCTTCACAGTTGTTTTTTAAAATCCTTTTTGAAGTAGCCCTGTGTGTGTGTGTATGTGTGTGTGTGTGTGTGTGTGTGTGTGTGTGTGTGTGTGTATTTTCCTGCATTTTTCAGTGAGGTTTTTAAAAATGGAAATGTCCATGAACCTTGCTTATTTTCACAGTAACAGCCATATTCTATCCACATCCATGTTAGGTCTTCCCTGCCACAGTAAGAACTTTTATTTAATGATTTCAAATGTTTCAAACAGAATACTGTAGAGAATAAAATAATACACACAGTATAACCACCACTCAGCTTTATCACATCTCAATAGTTGTATTTGCTTCAGATTTTTCTTTTTAAGAGATGAAACATTATATATGTCCCCCTTCCCAGTTCCATTCTCTTGCTTCTCAAAATAACCACTTCCTAGCTTTTATTTCAAATCTTAACTTCCTCTGGAATATCTGATACTTAGCTATGATTTTTCTTCATTGTTAATAAATTCTTTATGGCTCACTTCATAGCAAATTAGGAAGGGATGTTTTGGGAAGCCACTCAGAAAAGGGGTGTGTGTGTGTGTGTGTGTGTGTGTGTGTGTATAGATAGACCAGCTGGCAGGCAGACATGGGAAGAGGGACATCTGTGCTGTGCTGATGTGCTGCTGGACTTAAGAGAGGATGTTGGGGGCATCTGGATAATTATTTATTATAAAAAAAGATATTTAAGAGGAAAATATTCAGAGAAAACTATGCAAATGTTTGTCTATACTCACATAAGTCAGAAATCTGAGTGAAGATATTTGGGGAAATCCATCCAGGGGAACAAAAATGCTTTGTCATTTTTTTTTAAAAAAATATTATTTATTTATTTATTTTGGCTGTGCCCGGTCTTCGTTGTGGCACGCAGGATCTTTTTGTTGTGGCATGCCGACTCTTAGTCGTGGCATGCATGCAGGATCTAGTTCCCAGACCAGGGATCGAACCCGGGCCCCCGGCATTGAGAGCGCAGAGTCTTACCCATTGGACCACCAGGGAAGTCCCTGCTTTGTCATTTTTATGTGCTTGCTGTGTCAGGCGCTGTTATAAGCACTCGATTGGATGTTAGTTTATTTAATCCTCATCCCAACCAGTGAGGTAGGTATCAATATTATCCTCACCTGACAGATAAGGAAACAGACATAGACAGTTTAAATGATTTGTTCATGGTTAGATAGCTAGGCTGAGTCGGAATTTGTGCTCAGGGACTATGGATCCAAGCTCGCCTAGTTAATTCTAGCCTGTCCTGCGGCCCGCCATCAGCCACAGCCCCAAACTGAACCAGACATCTTCCTGCTCTTGAGCTCCACGTTCAGACAGACACACAGATAAAGCTGGGTACTCAACTATGTCTGGGCTCAATTTCCTCCCACTTTTCAAACTCTTCCTTACAAATGGTTCCTTTCAGCACACACACGTGCACAATCTCCCTTGTTTTTTTTTTTAATTTTTTTTTTGGCTGCGTTGGGTCTCCGTTGCTGCACGCGGGCTTTCTCTAGTTGTGGTGAGAGGGGGCTACTCTTGGTTGCGGTGCGCGGGCTTCTCATTGTGGTGGCTTCTCTTGTAGCGGAGCACAGGCTCTAGGCACGCGGGCGTCAGTAGTTGCGGCACACAGGCTCAGTAGTTGTGGCTTGCGGGCTCTAGAGCGCAGGCTCAGTAGTTGTGGCACACGGGCTTCGTTGCTCCGCAGCATGTGGGATCTTCCCGGACCAGGGCTCAAACCCGTGTCCCCCTGCATTGGCAGGCAGGTTCTTAACCACTGCGCCACCAGGGAAGCCCCATCTCCTTTGTCTTTAAACAAAAACTCTCCGGCCTGCTTTTTCTCAGTCAGGTTGCCTGAACCAACTGCAAGTTTGGCTCCATTTCTCCACTTCTCATTCAGTCCTCATGAAGGCTGCTCTCACTGAGGCCAACAATAACCTACATGTTGCCGAGTCGAGGGACATTTCTCAATAATAATGAAAACATTACTTGACCTTTCCTTGTATTTTGAGATTTTGATCACTCCTTTGATATTCATTCTTCCCAGACTTCTCTGACACCATCCTTCCCTGAGTTTTCTCCTACATCTTTCATGATTGTTTCTCAACCTGCATCACTGACTCTTGCAGCAAACTCATATCCCACAACCAATCATGTTTTTAAGGGTCTGTCCTCTTTCCTCTTCTATACTTTCTTCTCAGTGATCTCGTTTACATACAACCAAATCTTTAACTATATGTATATATCTATATCTATATCTATATCCTCTGAGCCCCAAACTCATCCACTTCATATCACCCGAAGCTCATGTGCCAGACAGAATTCATCACCTTTCTTCATAGCTCCCTACTCTACTCCTGTACCACTCTTCTGCCACTCATTTGAGCCAAAATCTGGGAATCATCCTTAATTGCTCCCTATCTGTCACAATTGCCTTCTCATCTGTCACCAAGTCACACCCACTCTGTATCAATAAATCTTAGAGCCATTTACTCCCCTCCATCTGCACTGTCACCATC